ACATCTCTGTGGCCCTACACAATATATTCTTGACGGTCCAAACATGAGCCACCTTTAGGTCATTTCTCCCCACTTTTTATTTGGGTGGAGCTTGTGGAGCAAGCATGAAATGTTGCTTCTACTTCCCAGGGTGATACCTGAGTTTCAGGCGCCACAGTACATCTTACAATAAAATTTTGGCTCTATTTAACATATCATTTTATTCTCATCTTCCTGATGTGGGATATTCTAGGGAACTGCTTGAACCAAATGAACCTCATTGAGAGTGGACATCAAGATGTGTTGAACGCTTGATACATCAGACACTGAAAGAGACTGGGGGGAACTTGATTCCAAGTGAGACAGGGCTGTGGCTGTCTCATGTGTGGTGCTGGTGAGTGCTGACAAGCCCAGACTTTGGGAAAAGTCCTTATGTCAGACAATTGTGGGCTAGGGTGACAGATCACACTTTGATGGATGTCAGGTTCCTTGAAGGGAGTAGACATTCCTAAGATTATGTATTCTGGGTGGAAGTCAAGCCAGTGGCAGAAAATAAAAATTTTAGAGGCTGACCTTAGATCAAAGGAAGAAAACAAAACAGAACAGAACAGCATAGCCGTAAAAGACTTGTTCAGTTACTGGTCAGGAAATTCTGGGATCCTGAGCAGGTTGGCAGTGGGCGATATTATGGACAGGCTGCTCCTCTGGCTCTACAGTGAGCCAGTTTGAATCTGAATCCTCACCTCTGGCCTGTTTCTATGACAGACCTACCAGAGTTTATCAATCAGCCCTGCAGTTTTCACAAAACGCTCCTACCTTCTGCCTCAAGGTCCCTCAGGTAGGGGAGGAAGCCCACGGACTCAGTGCTGTGATTCCTAAAGCATCAGACACGTTGCATATCTTACTTAGTCTCCGCTGTTACCCAATCATGAATTATGGCCACTCTCATTTGATAGATGCAGTAATTGAGAAACAGAGAAATGAAATGGCCCTCCAGACTGTCCCTGGCAGCTGTGGGGAGGGAAGGAGACCTCCAGGCCCACTCTCTGGCTTTTTCCTAAGGTGCCCTTCCTCCTGCCAGCTGCCACTCTGCCCAGTCTTTCTGTTAAGTCCCCTTTGCCCCAAATCTAATTTGTTGGCACAGGCCTTATAAAGCAGAGTCAAAGCACAGGTGCAGTATTATCCTTCATGTCCTGGATCTGAATTTATGCTGCAGCTCAGGTCAAGTGTCCACCGAGTGACAGCCCAAGCGTACCTGTGCTCAGTAACTCTGGCGGAGAGCCCTGGATTCTGACTTAGCTTCTAGCAGTGGTTCACAAAATTTAGTATGCTACAGAACTACTTAGAGCAGGATTGATTGGTCAAAAGAAGAATAATATTTCACCACATGTAAGAATTAAATGAAATTTAAATTTCAGTGTCCATAAATAAGTTAAACAAAGCCAAATCAATCATAAAATACATGCAGCAGATATAGACATACCTCACTTCATGTAATCTGGGCACACAGCCATGTCCACTCATTTTCATATTATCTCTGCAAGGGCAGAGTTGAGCGATTGCCACAGGGACCATATGGTCTGTAAAACCTAAAATGTTTACTATCCTTCCCTTTCCAGAAAAAAATTCGCCAACACGTGGCCCAAAGGGCTTGTTAAAATACAGATCACTAAGCCCCAACCCCAGAGCTTCTGATTCAGTAAGTCTGGGTAGGGACCAAAAACTTGCCATTTCTAATAATTTCCTAGATGATGGTGATGCTGCTGGTCTGAGGATCACACTTTGAGAACCACTGCCTTATAATAATAGGCTGGTTATGCCCAAAGAAGATCCTTTGGTTTCTATAATTTTGTTATGCCCTTCCTTTAAATCGAAAAAGACGGTCTTAGTGGAGGGCTGAAAGGAATTTACTTCTTCTCTAGCAAAGCTTTCTTTACGTTTATGGAAGATACACAGCAGAAGGGTTTGGAGCTGGACAGAAACCTAGTTCCACAGCCTGCTGGCTTTGTGACCTTGGGTAAGTTAGACTCAAGTTCCTCATCTGTTAAGATGAGGGTATATATAGGAAAAAACAGTTTTTCCTCCTATATTCTCAACACAGAGCACTTCTGGTCACCACCTGGCTTGGCTCTTACTCCTAGAGATTCTGATTTCATTGGTCTGGGGTATGGCCTGGATGTTGGGATCTTCAAAACTATAAATGGAGATAATAATGTAGCACTGTCCAATAAAAATATAAAGAGAGTCACACGTATAATGTTATGTTTTCTAGGAGCCACATTTTGAAAGGTGAAATTAATTTTAATATAATATTAATATCTTATCACTGATAAATAATTAAAATAATATATTAATGATAAATTCTACTTAACTCAGTATATTCCAAACATTAACATTTCAACATACAACCATGGAACAATGACAGAGATATTTTACATTCTTTTTCTCAGACTAAAGCTTTGAAACTGAGTCTGTACTTTACACTTATAGCACATCTCTAATCAGACTGGCTATATTTCAGGGTTCAGTAGTGACCTGTGGCTTGTGGTCATTGCTTCAGAAAGCACAGGAGTAGTTAATGTGCAACCAAGATGGAGACCCACTGGGGTAAGGGCATGCTTGGTGTTCTCAGACCAGACCAAAGCTCCCGGACCACACACGGGTTCTATCGGCATTGTTATTCTTGAGGATTGAGAGAGTTGACTGCAGCTTCCCTCCTTTGGGCTAGGAATTAGGTGTGGTCATTAAGGACATTCAGTGAAGCTCAATTTTGTCTTAAAATTGGATGTGCAGCTTATGGAACCTGTTTGAAAGCATGGCGATCAACTAAAGCAAATAAATCTAAATGACTTGATGCTATCAGAGAAGACAGAAGGACCAGTGCAGCATTAACAGAGCAGGAGGTAAAACTGTGGCCAATTTTGTCTCCTTCTGAGTGAGCCCACAGCCTGAGTAAACAGGGCTGTGGGAATCCCAGGCAAGAGTATGGCTGTTAGATCATCCCTTGATATTCTACGCAACTCTTTGATTCAGAACTTTCTATTCAAGTCCAAATATCACTGGATATTACATAGGCTGTCATTCTCTTTGAAAACTCTTAGGTTTATTCCTAGGGGAACGGAATTTATTCTCTCTATTCTTTCTTATAATGATAAACTAATATTTAAAAGAATAACCTTGCAAATTTATCATAAAAGCAAGCAAGATTTCCAAAAAAGACAAAAATAAAGATCTGCAGAGATAAGCGCTCTTAGCACTGAAGCGTGTACTCTTTCAGAGTATTTTTTTGGTGTATACACTTACACACATTTTACACAATAGGATTCAACAGTGAATACACTTTTATAGCATGCTTCTTTGTTACATAATATTCTTACAAGTATATTTTCATGTAATTTAGTAATCTACAGCATCATTTTAAAATCACAGCCATTGTACCATTGTTTGGCTGAATAATGACCTACTTAGTCAATGCCCTATCATTGGTCATATACGCTATTTCCCCCACATTGTCAATCATAGCGTAAGTAATCATACTGAAAGAGCATCAGCTGGTCTTTGAATCCAATGTGATGTTTGCCTTAAAGCTAGCTGAGGACAATGCAGAGGGAAAGGAGGCAACATTTCCGTCTCACTAAGTCTGACCCATTTTGTAGTTTTATCTGGCTTGGAGAAAAGCCAGCGAGATGCAGTTTGCAGAGGAATGCATAGTAATGCTGTGACAATGATACCAGACAGCTCAGCTGCGAGTGACACCACAATGTGCCGCCCACAGTGGACATTAGGTTTTCTCACCGCTCTGCTAAGAAGGACCTGCAAGCCCCACAGCAAGCCTTAATGTGTTAACAGCAGCTTATGCTTGGATTTGGATTGACTTTAGTTCTTCCTGGTGCCATTTTTCCCCTTCTGGTCTTAGTATTAACCACTTCTTTGGAACAGAATCATTCCTGCAGTAGGTTTGTGGGTGGGTTAAAAAAATTTAATAATCCAAAAAACCTCTGACTTTAAGATTGTAGTTTCTCTGCCTTATGTAGTTTACATAATTATTTGTTCGTGCAGCGTTTATATATTACTTTTCTGATCATTTTATACTATATGATATTTTACACTATATGAGGTTTTCTGGCAATTTCCCCAGTGCCAGCTTCTCAGTTTGCCTATGCAGTCATCACTCCCGTTGCAATAAAGCAAATAAATAGCTGCAGAGCTGCCCAGCATTCAAATAAGGCAAACGCCAGCCTTTTGAGCTGCTAAACTGAATTGAACACCTCAAACTGATTTAGGGAACCATCTCTCTTCTCTTTCATCAATCCTATTAAAACCATACATAGGGAAAAACAGCAAGGTTTTCTTATACCTGGAGGACCAGGAAAATGTACTCTCTGCTAGGGTTTGATGCATGTTGTGTCTTTATGTTATGCATAAGCAGTCTTAAGTAGTCATTTTAAAGGTGAACTGGTAAAGTTGTGTTCAATCCATCATATGTTCACATGCAAATACCACAAAACAAGTATCTATTGTGTCTTTACTTTGTGCCAGGTCTCTTTGCCATGTCAGCAGTGACAGATAGGAGCAAGAAATATGCCTTCCTTAAAGGAGTTTGAAGTTTAATTGGGAGGGACACACACACTAACCATAAAATTCAGTTCCATCTGAGATAAGAACTACAGCGGAAATAGGAACATGATGCTCCCAGAGCACCCAGAGGGAGCACTTTATCTGTTGGCATTGGAGGAAGTTTCAGAGAGAGAGAGAGAGAGAGACAGAGACAGAGACAGAGAGAGAAAGGGATACTTCAGCTAGGTCTGGATGAAAAGCAAATGGCGATTGGGCCACACATACTAAGGGGACCGTCCAAACAATGTTGCAGGTGTTAAAATGCAGGCTCTGAAGAGAAAGTGGCAAAGGATTCCTTAAGCTGATGCCTAAGGTATGTATGGGGGGTGGAGCAAGATGTAGCTGAAGAAGGGAGGAAGGGAGGGAGGAAGGAATGGGAGGAAGAGAGGGAGGGAGGGAGGAAAAGGAGGGAGGGAAGAAGGGAGAAAGGACTGACTGTGGGTGAAGAATTCAGAGTCAGCCCAGCTGAGGGCAGGTCGAAAAGGTTAAACAGGGACGGACGAATGACGAGTTCATCATTCTGAGGAAATGCATGAATATACTTGATTAATCAGAAATGTCTCCAGTAAGTTGAGAGAGGAAAACTGACTTATCATTTTAAGGTGGGCTAGCTAAGAAAAAAAAAAAGGTCCCAATTTGAAACAAAGTCAGATCACTGGGCAGAAAGATTCCTGAAATGATAATTTTAAGTAAACCCCTGGTCAAAAGCAAGACACATTCATTCGTTGTCTTGTTTGTTCTTTTATTCATTCATTCGTTAAAACTAAGATTGGAGTCAGCCTGCCTGGGTTCAAGCCGTGGATCCTTCAAGCTCTGTGACTTGCTGCAAGCTCCTAAAGCCCTCTGTACTTCAGTTACACATTTATAAAGTTGGAATATTAATATAGTATTAACCTGTAAGGTTGGTGTGGGAAGTAAATGACTTAGTGGATCGAAAGCTCTTATAACAGGGCCTGGTACGAATGCTCCATCGTGTGAGGCATTTTGCTCTGTGTGTCTCTGTATTCAGAGCTCTCTATGTATCAGCCACATTTGAAATACTGGGAATAAAAAGACAAAGGTGATATGACCCTACCCTCAAGAAGCGCGTAGTACAATGTGGAAGGTACACGGGAGCAAACCAGGACAGTCCAACATGGCAAACGCTAGGATAGAGTGATGTGCCACACAGTTGCCGGGGATGGCGAGGGTGGTGAGGGAGCCAGGCTGAGTCTGTCCTCTACAGATCCCAGCAAAGTTCCCCCGGTTCCATCTGGTCAATCCTCCCTTAAGTTCCTTGTTTTCTTTTGTTTGCATCCCTTAGTGTAGGAAGGATATTCCAATTTCTTCTAGATCTTTCATTTAAAAGGAGTAATTGCCTCATTTCACAAGGAACTTGACTGTTTAAAATTCTAGCTCTCTTGAATGGGAAAATAGATAAAGGGGTATTTCTGAGATGTGAGCTGAGGGGTGTATTGGGAGTATGCCCCGCCTTGGCCAGTGGGAGTAGGAAGGAGACCCTGGGAGGGGAAAGCAGCTGGGAGAGAACCACTCCTGGGGAAGGACAGTCAGAGAATAGAGCCAGGTTTTAACTACACCGCGGAAGCATCTCAGGGCCTTGGTGAAGCCGTGGTAAAGCCAAGGAGGAAAGGAGAGGTGGGGACAGGTGGCGGAAGGCTACCTTCTCTTTCTTCAAGGCTGTAAGGCAGGGAGTAGAGGGTTGGTGCACTGGAGAAAAGGTAGCTAATGTAATGGGGTTTCTGCCTCTCTACTTCTAGTGTAACTACCCGATGCCCCTGTTAGTCAATGACCCACGTTGGGAAAGGTGGTGACATATCATAAGCTTCATTTGTTTTTCTTTTTGGAAGTCCATTACTACGTTCAGGACACCCTGCCACTAAGGAAGTTGTGGAGGGAAAACCTGGAACCTCTCTGAACCGCAACGGATTTTTGGAAGCTCTTGGCTCTTTCTGCTGCCAGCCCTGTTTATAAAATGCCGCTACTCACAGGAACAATGTACTGTTTTAAAGCATCTCATACGCGTCATTTCCTTTTGATATTCACAACAGCCCTGTAAGGTAGGCCTTATGGAATGGGCCTTATTGTTATTTTTATGCAACACATGCTGATAAGTGAGGATAAACTCGTCCAAAGGTGAGGGGCAGAGACAGAGCTCTGGTCTGGGTGTCCTGGCCTCAGATGCAAGTTTGCATTTATCTCTCTGCAGGCCCCTGCAAGCAGCGAGCAAGACAGATGGCTTACCTCCTTTCCTTCTTCCACAGAAAGAAAACTTGGGCAGAGCCACCTCACAGATGGGATAGGAGAAATTCAACACAGACGAGCCTTGAGACATGAGAGCTAGGTCAAGAAATAGCTCTTTGATGTCCTCTCCTGGAGGAAAGAGAAGAACAGCTTTACTCTTACTGCGTGTTTCACTGTGCATCAAAGGCATTCACAGTATACAGCAGCATGAGCTAAAGAACCTTTTGTTTCCATTAATCTGCTCTGTGTGGGGAACAGTTTACTTCTTTCCTTAGTAAAACGGCATTTAGGCAATGCTGCGGGGGATTATGACGAGACCCGGGGTATGAAGGGCGGCTGCTTCTCAAAATACCTGCTTGGAGCAAGGTAGTTAATCGGCTGAGCTCCCCACCCTGGTGCTATGGCCTTTTCATGTGAAGTCTGCAGGTCTGGCTTCTGGAATTTCTCAGCTGCAGAGTATCATTTGTTCCCCATGATGGCGGTGGGGTGTGGTCACGCCTACATACACCTGCTGCTGTCACCAGGGAGGTATTGCAGCACAGGTACACAGGAAGCTTCGGTGGGTCCCGTGGCCGTGGCTCCCAATTCTCTCTGCCTTTTTCTCCATTCCTCCCTTTTATGTTCCACCCACTCTTCCATTTCTCTTTTCTCTCTTCTTCTCTCCCCATAACATTTCTCGAGCTGCTGCTAGAGTCCCGATACTGGATAAGATTCTAGAAATACAAAGTTGCGTGAGAGTTCTTGATTTCTGTGAATGTTGCTTCCACTTTTCTGGAACGATTCCACATGCTAAGTTTATTCAACCTCTCTACTTTGATTTTGATATAACTGTTTTGGAAAAGGAGATAGTCTAGTAGCTATAGCAAATATATTGACTAACTATAATTGCATGATCATATGATGAACATTAAACAATCAGAAAGTGCTCTAGCTTATTGATTGGGGTAGGGGAGAAAATATTACATCTCCTCCTTGCCTATGTCAAGGTTTAAGAATTTGTATTAACTATTTGGGATACAAAATAACACAAATGACAAACCGTACTGCTGGTAGTAGATTTATTTGTTGCTGAGATAACTAAAAATGTTAGGAGATCCTGAGTAGACATTAATACTTAATCTCAAAATATTCCCCCCCCTCTTTTTTTTTTTTTTTTTTGCTGCGTATACTGATTCCAGATGCTTATATCGTCCAAATGAGTGCCTAGAGTCTTTTTAATACAAAAGTACAGCTTTAAGTGAGAGTTCTACCCTACCTGGATATAACCTAGAGAGAGATTTAAAAATGAAGATGTAAACAGTGTTAATTCTAGAGAGTGGTGAGGGAACAGCAGTTTAGCCAGTCATTATAGTTAATGTAAGTCATTGGGGTTGTGGAGTTGGAAGAGGCTGTGTAATGTTTTATTTCATGCTAATCATTTTTTTTTACTTACTCAGAATTATTCCAAATCTAATGTTGATATTTGATTTTAATTGCTTGGAACACTTTTCAATAGAAAAGCCAAAATCTTGTAATGGATCTGCGAAGAAGAAAACAATAGATTAGTTGTGAGTACATTGTATATTCTGCAAACATATTCAAAATTTGCACCAACATTGTTTTCACACGAATTACTGCATTTATTCAAAAGCATATTGCCCAACACTTTTTAAAATAAGCCTGTGATATTTTCATCAGCTCCCCCCAGTGTCTTCAAAGCCAACGTCATGTTCACTCTGACAACAGGGCCTCCATCCATGGAATGAACAGTGTCTTGCTAGTTGGGTTATGTCTTTACTTGTTAACGTTTTTATCATAGAAAAATGTTATCATTGCCCAAATTCTTCTAGTTCCTGAACATTTGGCTTTAAAATTGCTCATGGATTGCATAGAGCCTTTAATAAAGTATCTATTATTATTATCAAAACAGACGGAGGTACAAAAGTTAGGAGAGCTTGAGTAGACATTACTACTTAGGCTTAAAATATTTTCTTAAAAGATTTTCAAAGTTAAGATCTGCCTTTGTAATTCCATTTTATCTCATCCCATCCCATCCCATCCCATCCCATCCCATCCCATCCCATCCCGTCCCATCTCATCCCATTTAATGTAATACTCCCCCCAAAAATATTCCACTATGTACAGGCATTGTGCTAGATATGATGAAGCTATAAAGATAATATTTTCTGCATATAACTTCTGCTCATTCACAAAGCTCCAATGGTTTATCTATGCCTCAGAATAAAGTCCAGAAATGAGTGACTGGCTCCAACTTCCATCCTCCACATCATAAATCCATCCTCCATTCCTTGAGACCAACACACCAGCACATTCCCACCATGTTTGATTTGCTTGCGTGCTTTCTCCCATTTGCAATGGTCTTAGTCTTTTTGGCTATTATCTAAATCCTCAGGTCTTGATCATTCCCATCTTCTTTGTGAAGGCTTCCCTGACCCCAAATATTCTCTTGTTTCCTTGAATTTTTAAAATGGTGATGTCTGGCACTCTCGGTAAGTGTACAAACATGTGTCACTCTGTACTTTGCTACCTGGCTTATCCTGCAACACTGAATCTAAACATGACATTCATTAAAGGCCAGAGCTAGTTTCTTGTTTTGTTTTGTTTGTTTTGTTTTCCATTTCCTTTTCCTTTATGTTTCCCACTGGGCTGGAGACAGGAGACCTATTTTTAACAGAGGATTACCTTGTACTAATAGCCGAGCCTTGTACTTTATGAGTGTTTTCCATTTAATTCTCTAGGTACCCCAGCACCTAGCAGAGAGTCTCACAGCCTCACAGTCTGACACACAGTAAGCACTCCATAAATGTACATGTTGAGTGAATGGATGGGCCGTGTATTGGAGCTGTTTCTCAGCTCCAAATCCAGCCCTCTTTCCTCTGATTTTTAACTGGGCTCTCGGTAATCATGTTTCTCCTTCGCTGTCTGCCAGTCAAGATAGCAGGGAGATGGATGCTGGAGTTGAAGAAGGGACTTACTCCTTCTTGAGTGCTTTCTGGGAGTGTCACTGGTGATGGACCAACACCTTGGCAGTGGAAGTTGGTTCCAGTTGGCTCTCTTTTGCACCTTCCCAGCATCAGCTGACACTCAGCTCTGTGGGGCCCTAAGCTACTGCAATAACAGCACATCAGAAGCTGTCACCCCTTCCTTAGCGGTCTGTCTCAGCTCCATAGGGTCCTTCTGTCAAGCATCCAGTTTCTAATCCCCACAACCTCTGCCTTTTGGTCTCCCAGCCCTCAGCGGTCCTTTCTTTGCTCTTTTGGTTCTCCAGCAACTGGTTCTCTAACCAACTTCCTATGTCAAATTCTCTCTGTTAAAATAACTGATATGGTCTTCGTTTTCCTGACAGGACCCAAACTTGCAGAATAAATAATAATCTGAAGAGATACACCTCATTTTACTGTTATGAAAATATGGACTGGGAGATGTTGTATTAACTTATCCAGATCCCCACACTAGAAAGTGTCAGAGTCAAGATTCAAAACCAGAGTTAAAAACAAACAAACAAACAAATTGCTCCCTGGTATTATGCAGTGAAACTCACAAAGTAGAACCTCAACTACATATGTTACTTATTTGATTTGTAAGATTGCCCAGAATATTTTGTGTGCAGGCATATGGCATCTGGTAGTTCTGTTTCATAACTGATTTCCATTTCAGCTTAGCTATGAGCTCACATTTGCCAATGATAGTGTTCCAGACAGTTTTATCATCCACATTGCTGACCTGGAAGATGCATCATTGTCTATGATATCTGCAATGGAAATGATCACTAGGCAATTTCAGCCTTGCAAATCTAACGTAAGTACACTTTCGTTTGATCAAAACCCCTTTGGTCCAGTCACTAATTTTCCTAAGGGTGGGAAAGAGCCCTCTTGTCTTATGCTCACTGGACTCCTTCCTAAGTATCTCTGTGCTGTCCCAGGGTTTCTTTCAGCCTGGAAAATAGGAGCAGGGGGTTGGAGACGATAGTTCCTGCTACATCCTTGGCACTCAGTATTGAAAAAGATAGAAGCCAATGAACAGATGCTTAGGAAGGTGCATCCTCAAAATTGTGGATAAATTTAAGTTGCTATCCAGGCAAAATAAAAGAGGCTAAGTATGTATTGTGTTGTTGATTAGCAGCTATATAATTACACTGTATGTTTATCAATATTTTAAAGGTATAGATAGGAAGAATCAACTAAGGGTGGGAGAAGGAAATAAAGCATTTTCCTGGTACTAGAAACACATTGTTGTTAGGAAAATAATCTCAATAAAGAACAAAGTCACAAAGAAAGCTGTAGGCTGCATCTCTCTGAGGATATGTATATAAAAGTAGAAAGACAGATTGCTTAAAAAGCGCTTAAGGGTTTGGTGAGCTTTCCTAGCAGCTATTTCAAATTTATATGCAAGACTGATATCTTTGAGTATAAACATGCAGTTTGTGGTCCTCTTGGGGAAAGTGACATTGGTTCCTCCTCCTCCCCCAATCCCACCCTCTCAAACTCATCTCCTTCTCTGTATTTATTTGCATTTCCACTTAGGCACTTTGTATGTTCTATACTACATTATATTTGTTTGTATACCTTTGTCATTCCTCCACTAGATAATGCAAAGCTGACTCCCCAGTGCCAGGGCTATACATAATCTCTTAAGATTATACCAGATCTCCAGTGATTGTCTGCTGGATGAATAGTAGTGGTTATTTGTAGTAAATTTGCTGAGAACCTTAAAGCAGGATTCCTCAATGTTGTCACTATTGACATTTTGTTTTGGATATCCCTTGTGGTGGGTGCTGTTCTGCGCATTGCAGGATGTCTAGCAGCATCCCTGGTCTCTACCCACCAGATGCCAGTAGCACCCCCATACCCTCTGGTTGTGACAACCAAAAATATCTCTAGACATTACCAAAGTATCCATGAGGGACAAACTCACCCCTGGTGGCGATCACTGCTTTAAATAATCACTTTATCAATTTCCAGGCTTTACTTATACTGCAAATGCCTCAGAATCACCTACCAAAATAAAAGATGGTAGGTTGCATTTTAAAGCAGTTCTCCTTCTACAGTATGAACCGTGATGGGCAGGCTGAGAGTGGAGAGACTTTCCCTTGGACCCTTGCTTCAGTAACTTTTAATCATATAAGATGGATCATCTGACTTTGGACTTTCTGAAACAATAGCATCGGAAAGTTAATCAGAGTTGGTGTTCTGAGAATTTGAGGAAAGAGATAAGTGTTTCCTCTGGATACTTCACTGTATTTCAGCAAATGAGCTCAGGAAAGAAGTCAAAGCTTCATCATGAAATAGAAGACTTCATTTTCAATATTTCTTCCTTGGCCTCTATGTGGCACTCCCTTGCTCTCTGTTCTGTTGACTTCTATGGCCTCAGCCCAATGGAGGACGGCATTATAGTGGGTGAACCCAGCAAACCCCAAACTGCCCCTGCTCCCCTCTCCCCCAGGCAGGTGTGCCCTCGAAGGCAGGCTTCTCCAAACCAGCAGCATGTGAACCCTGCCAGAGGTGAGGAAGAGCTCCAGGAGAACAGCCAGCAGCATCTGTTTTGCATACTAAGGGCAGCAACAATCAAATCTCCCCTAGAAAGGTTTTCTTGGACATTCATGGAGTAAAATAGAGTTGGATAAACAAGCTGGGTTTAGAGTGAGCAGCATTTGAACAGATCTCAGCTCCAAAGGTATTTTTGTGCCTTCCACCCTCCATTAGTGGCCTAGGCTGGGCTAGACCTGGGCAGCTGTCGAGGGGAGGACAATCTTGTCGGGATGTCTTCTATTAACAGCTAGCAGTAGGCTTTCAAATGGAATCAGTAGGAAGAAGACAAAATCCAATGACACAGACTCTGGGAGTGAAATTCCTCAGCAGAGGATGGTGGGGGCCTGGGTACACTCCACTGGACCAATCCTCGATTTGACTTCAGGCAGCGGGAAAGCTTGGATGTGTGTGTCTAAGTCCTGGAGTCCACGGATGTAGCTCCGCCCCCTGTGGCCTCTGCGTTGCTGGCTGGGTAGTTTGAGGCATAGAGGAGGGCCCAACTCTTATGCAGCTAGTTCCATTTTCTATATTCTAGCTCTACTTGAGGTTTTTCTTTAGCTTTATATTTTGAAATAATTATATTTTCACAGGAAGTTGCAAAAAGATACAGAGAGGTCTCATATATCTTTCCGCATCTTCCCCCATGGTAAGATCTTACATGGAGGGCAATACCCAAACTGGGACATTGACACTGGTACAATCCACAAAGTTTATTCAGATGTCAACAGTTTAGCAATCGTCTGTGTGTGTGTGTGTACAAGTGTGTGTGCCTATTTTTTACAGTTCTATTGCTTGGGTTTAAAATGGTTAGAAATTGGTCTTCCTCCTCTCAGGGGAGGGTAGAATTCTTACAGCAGAGTCACTGTGGAAAGGAGCTGACTCCCCTCCAACCTCACTTGTACCAGCCTTCCACATACTCACGGCCAAGTGCAACCCCAAGATTGCAATGTCCTTCCTGCTTTGTAAAGGTAGTCTTTCTCCCTCTCCCTTTATCCTATGCTCTTCTCTTCTCTCTTCCTGTCCCTCATTCTCTCTCTCTCCCTCTTTCTCTTTTTCTTCTTATATCAGTACTGAGATCTGGCTACCATCCTGAGATTAAGAACACTGATTTTTCTTCAAACACATCTTAACCTTCATGGCTCATTCCCTGTGGCCCACATTACTCTAAGAGCTGGTATTGCTTCCTGCATGTGCTATTGGCAGAACACAGGCTGGCCCCAGGAGAATGTTAAGTATTACAAGCATGCTTCTGATAGAGGCACGACCTGGGGAGGGAGAAAGGGCATAGAGGGCCCAGGAGACCTTACCAGTCACACACAGCTTAGCTGCACTGGCAGGACTGCCTCTCACAAACAGTTTATGGAAGGAAGGAAAAATTGGGTTAACAGAATGTGAGTAAAGCTGGTCTGCTTCTGAATGCTCAATAAAATAGTACTGGATGGTTGTTTAATAATGGGGGGTGTGTTAGGGTTCTCTAGAAAAACAGAACCACTTGGCACTGGAGACTGAGTGTCTGAGTGTGGTTGAACTGCTAGTTCCGGGTCAAATGGTAGCAGATATTCCTCTGCATCTTTCAGAATTCTTCCCAAATGTAACAAAATAACAAACAGACCTTGCTTTTGATTTCTTTTTTTTAGGTTGGCTGATGGCCAATTCTGCCAGCTTGTGTTCTGTTTATCATACAGATCTAGCTGGGCACAGATCTGGAAGTCTGTCTTCTTTCAAGGCTGTACTTTTACTAGAGTGTCTTAATTTTCTTGGCGAATTCATAGGATGACATTCAAGGGTCACTGTAGACCTTTACAGGAGGATGATGCATAAGGCTTCAGTAAAATCGCATTGCTGGAAATCCATTAGCAGCACAACGCAAAATTAACTTTCTTCTTTTCTGTCCTTAATGCCACTGTGTTCCCTCCGCCTCCTCCCCTCATACTCCCTCCCACCTTTGTGGAAAAAGCAATAACTTACAATGTGGTAAGTGCATTCTAGCTGTGTTTTTCTATTATGTCCTGATCTCTTCTTTTTTTCTACCTGCCAAATCTTATTACTGTAGCACAGCAAGGCTCCCCAGTGGGTCATTATTTCAAATAATAGTAGTTCCACTCCCATTTGACTCTCTTTGGCCAGCATTTCCTCGGGAATTGACTCACACATTCAAGTCAACTGGCTTCTTGTTTCTTCATCTCAGATATGTAAACAGTGTGTTCAAAATACTTAAACATGTTTCTTGCTTTCAAATGCAACAAAAATAAAATTAACACGATCACAATGGAATATCGACTATTTGTGATATAAGATGGTAAAAACTGCAACATCCTGCCAGCTGCCTGGCAACCTTGGTGAATGTGTTTTTGAGTGAGATGGTATGTTGGGGCTGCTAAACTCAAAATTCTGGATCCATAGCTTGTCTGCTTTTAATTGCAAAAAAAAAAAAATTGAATTCATAATAAGCCTTTTTATTGACAGAAAAGGAGTAGGAATCTTGCATGGCCCCTCTGGCCTCTAAGTTCCACTTTCCCAGAATAACCTAAGTTTGGCTTCCATCAGCACAGGAGGAGATGGCTTTTCTATCATGATATAAATATGACAGACCATAAGAGATGAGTGGCAATGAAGACAGTCTTCTGCCCAAAATATCTTGCCAAATGTCTTGATGAAAATAATGACCTAATTGAGGCAGTTTTGTCTGATCTTTACATCTTAGGAGTAGATCAACAATGCACTGGTCGGGCATGGTGGCTCACACCTGTAATCCCAGCACTTTGGGAGGCCGAGGCGGGTGGATCACCTGAGGTGAGGAGTTCAAGACCAGCCTGGCCAACATGGTGAAACCCCATCCCTATTAAAAATACAAAAATTAGTCGGGTGTGGTGGCACGTGTCTGTAGCCCCAGCTATTCAGAAGGCTGAGGCAGGAGAAACGCTTGAACCCAGGAGGCGGAGGTTGCAGTGAGCTGAGATCACACCACTGCACTCCAACCTGAGTGACAGAGTGAGACTCCGTCTCAAAAAAACAAACAAAAAAACAAAAAACAAAAAAACAAAAAAAACACAAATGCACTAAGTGCAAAATTTTATTGTGTGTTACCAAGAGGGTGCCATGGTGCCACATAGCATAAGATCCTAACACGAAGGTGAGAGGAAACTGGAACCTGTCTTATGGGTGAGAAACAGTGCACCTTAGTGGCTGGAAGATGCGATAGGAAGAGCAACTTGGCTCATCATTCATTACCCTGTAATAGGAAGGGGATTAGGTCTTGGGGATAGAAAGACAAATCAGAACTGCTTCTGGTATCATCGTATTTATAATATTTCCATCATCTGATTATGATAGCACACTACTGAATAATAAACTCAACAAAAGATGCATGTATACTCTATACTCTAAATCTCTCATTTATAGTCAACACAACACATTATAGTCTCATTATAGTCAACATTTTATAGTCTTCTGTAGGCAAGGCATGTTTCCCATGGATTCACTTTATACTATCTTGCCTGGCCTCTCTTCATTTTAAACACCATCTTAATGACAGTGTCACTATTCTTTCTTACAATATGTTTATTAACTGTCTAATATGTGCTGGACACTGTGCTAGCTGTGGTGGAACCGAGGTGGAAAGGGAGCATTTTGACCAGACCAGTTCACCCAAAGCCCTACTATTGGTTAAGTAGTGACCAGATTACTAGAGCTCCCTCAAGTCTAGAAGCATCAGGGGAACTTGCCTCTTCGGCTTGGTGTTGGTAATCGTTTAACTTTCTGTTACTAATTTGGAGGCAGTCCGCGTGGGATAGAAAAGTGGATAAATGCTAGTCTGTTCTCTTTTTACAATGGAAGATTAGACTTTAGCACATGCTTCTCCACTGCCAATGTGGATTTCACCAGCAGGCAGACTCCTTCTAAGGGAGAGCCTGGCTTAGAGACAGCGGGAACCATGGCACTGGTGACACCCACACAACCAGGATACACCTGTTGTATTTAATGTCTGCAGTTCTTACAAATTTGTCTGTCTCTTGACAGTCTTGACAGGGGACATAAACAGGGCCAGATGCATAGGGTGGTTTACTTGACTGTACAGCTACAAAGATGATCCCTGGGACTTTTCTTGACATGCTGCAAATGCTGAAAAGGAATTCCCTTCTGCTTCTAGAAGTCATGAACTAGATATGATTTAAAAAGAAAAAGCTAAGGTGTTTGTTGTCCTTGGCATCGGATGTTGTGGAATATGATGGTTGGGTGAGCAGGAACTGACAAACTGTCTGGGAGGTAACAGCTGAGGCCAGCCTAGTCTTTGTTCATTGATGGTGCTGGATTTGAACCAAACATACCAGGAGGTCCTCAAATGTTATTTGAATTGTTCTCATTAGCCTTGAGAGTGACCAGGGCATGGGGTGCTAGTTAACATCCCTGTTTGCTAAGGAAGAGACTGAGATTTCAGGCAAGGAAGTGACTTCCTCTCATCTCCAGACTCAGCCTCCAGGGCCCTGAGCACTGCACCCTGGTTCCTGTGCGGGTCTCACCCTGGAGCAGGTGAGCGAGGCAGACAAACGACAGAAGCAGAGCTTTAGATGGAGGCGAAATGAGTCCAGACATGTGTGCTGGGACCTGGTCCTCTTAGGATTCAAGTTGCTTACAGAGAGGGACAAGACCCAACAAGCTTCCCAATTTTGATAAAATTCTTCACTGTGATTGTGCAGGTCACTGTCAGTCAGCGAAGGTGCTGCTTTTCTCAACCCAAAGGAAACTGGGATAGAGGAAAATGCTTTGGAAGTTTTTTTTATTAGGAATTAAGAAAAACAATGCATGTAAAGCATCTTGGCCAGTGTTAGGCACATAATAGACAGTTAATAATTGGGCAAAAGGAGGATGGAGTCCATTAGAAAGAAGATATTACAATACTGACTATTCTCATTACAGTTGCAGAAAATGAAACCAACTTTTTTTTTTTAAACATTTTTCTTTTTAATGTAAGAACACCCTAGGTTTAAAATAATTTAGTTAAGTTCATATATCTTTTTTGTATTATTATTTTTCTTTTGAAATAGGGTCTGGTTCTGCTGTCCAGGCTGGTATCAAACTCCTGGATTCAAGCGATCCTCCTACCTCAGCCTCCCAAACTGCTAGGACTACAGATGTGATCCACTGTGCCCAGCACTTTTTTTTTGTTTTTTTGTTTTTTTTGAGACAGAATCTCACTGTCACCCAGGCTGGAGTGCAATGGCACAATCTTGGCTCACTGCAACCTCCCAAGCTCGAGGGGTTCTCATGCCGCAGCCTCCCCAGTAGCTGGGATTACAGGTGTGTGCCACCACAGTGGGCTAATTTTTGTATTTTTAGTAGAGATGGGGTTTCACCATGTTGGCCAGACTGATCTTGAACTCCTGACCTCAAGTGATCCACCCGTTTTGGCCTCCCAAAGTGCTGGGATTACAGGTGTGAGCCACTACACCTGGCCTTTAGCCCAGCTTTAAGTTAAATAGACATTTCTGAGATGAAACCTAGACGCCACCTGGGGCATCCCAGCCCTTAAGATTAAACAGGATTGGTGGAACATAATCTCATGGCTGCGATGCTCTTTGCTGATGGTTCTCAATGTGGCTGCACGTTGAAATCACTAGGAGAGTGCTGTGAAAATACCCATGCCCGAGTTCCACCCCAGACAGTCTGATTTAATAAGTCTGGGTGCTGCCTGGTTTTTAAATGCTACCCAGGTGATTCTATTGCCCTGCCTAGTTTGAAGCCCACTGTTAAAAGCCACACCAAGTTTTTTGGTCATTTCCTGGTACATGATCTTAAACGTGAGACCCTACGTCTACCGTGTATCACTCAGGCTCAAAGTTTAACCCCTTCATAGACGTCCTAAGAAATCTCCTTACAAACCATTCCACAAGGTGTACAGAATTTATGAAGCGTTAGGAGGCAGCCCCCTCCGCTTAGCCCCTTATGACCTGGTGAGATGCTCCGGCCTCTCCCTCTTTTTTCACGTCTGTGGCTCCTGTCTCTACAGGACACCATGTTTGCCCTGGCTCAGTCCTGAGGAGTTGGAACCTTGGCAGTTACCCAAGCTCCTCTCAAGAATTCTTTCAAGAAAGGCACGGCTCTGCTGAGGTAGGATTCCTGCAACAGCCCCTAAAAGCATATTTTTTCTGTTTCATTTCCTGAGCATTGACTCTCTGCCAAACACGATCTTAGGCATGAAAAGATTTGAGATGAGAGTTCAGGGACGAAGAGAACAAAGCTGACGAGATGAGCAAGGAGAGCTAGCGGAGGATGGGGAGCAGGAGACAGGACACGCCTGCAAAAAACTCCCAATGTGGAGAAGAACGTGGAAGAACAGCAGAGCTTGGCAGCTGTGAGTGGGCGGCGTGGGGCTGGGAGAGCCAAGACCAGAGAGCCCGGGATGCGCAGGAGTCCTGGGCTGCCTGCAGGCTCGCGGGAGCTCTGTGCTGGGCGGAGAGAATGATTTGAAGATGGGAATGCAAGCACGCACTCAAATTAAAAAAAAAAAAAAAAAAGAGTTGTGATTATAAATAAAAGGCATTTGGCGTCAATGAAGGAACTACTTAAGAGATCAGCAGCATCTTTTACAGCCGAATAAGCTTTACCTCCCTGTACGGTCTGTGTTTGTAAGGCAGTCACCGTTCACGCTCTCAGGAATTTTGGGTGTGGTTCTTCCATGACTGTGACTTGGGCGGATTGTGTGGTGTTGTGTGTGTTTCGTGACTCTCCATAAGCCGCCATGACTTTTGGAGATGGAAAGTCAACTCATCCATTTTCTTTGTTTTCCTAAACACTGATTTTCTTCTGGACAGGCTGCCTGTGTTCCTGAACAGGGGCACCAATACAGGCTATAAAGAACAACTTATTCTTTTAGGGGAGAGAAGTAGAGGGTTCTAAGGAATAAACTCTGTGAAAAATATCTCCATAAGAATTTGATAATGCGCTAAAAATTCCCTTCACTAATCCTGAATTCCCCGCTCTAGCATCACCTTGCTTGGTTCGTTGCACTGCACTGTGCAAGCCGGTTAAGTGTTCGAGGAGTGAATGAAGGAAGGCGGATAAACCATCAGGCAGGGAAAGTGAAGGGGCCGTATCACCCTAGCAGTCGTTGAACTGATTTTGGACACAATCAGCTTGCTCTTGGATCTCCTCAAATGTTTTGGTAACACATTGGCCTTTTAATAAATCTTAACTTCAATTTGCCCTCTCTTAATACAAGAGGCGATAAAGATTATTTTCATCTTCATAGTGTTCAGTACTCAGAGTTAGAAGGGTAAATATCCCTCCAATTAGACTGACTGGGACACGTGCTTGAAGTCAGAGCAGCTAGCAGAATACAGCAGCAATTTGATTTTTCCTATTTTTGGTAGGTGCAGAGAAAATGGAAGGAGAAATGCTACTTCGACAGGAGAGACAAAAGCCCTGCTATTTGTTTATTGGTCCGATTGTAAAGCTTTTTGAGCCTCTGCTGTTTGCTAGGCACCATGCTAGATGTGGGATACGAAGATCACTTAGTCTTAGGCATAGCCCCTGACTTTCAGGAGAAAGAGGTAGTAAACACACGACCCGCACGCAGCCTAGCCACAAGGTGCAGTGAGAGAACAGGGAGGCACCAGTGTGCTAGCGCTTTGCCTTGGAAGCTGTGGAAGCGCTTTTGTGACCATTCATCTTAAGTATATTCCTATATATTTCCAAATATTTCCAGTAATTACAGATGGGTGTAAAACAGTGGTCACTTCTATAGCTCTTTCCATAGCAGGTGCTGTTCTAAGCCCTACATGTGTATTAGCTGAAATCCTCACAAAAGCCTTAAGAGAGATGCTGTTAACATCTGTGTTTTAGAATTGAGGAAACTGAGGCAGAGATGGTTTATGGAAAGTGTGCAGGTTGCAAACCTTGTACGGGGCTGGAGTAGGAGCCTGTGTATGTAGACTCTTTTCTACCAACTCAGGCACAGAGAACAACAGATACAAAAAGTCTCAGGTCCCAAAGTCTGTGTATTCTGGTCAACAAAACTCTTCATAAAATCAAGCCAGTTGTGCTTTTGTGAGCTTCATCTTGAATCACATAAATGCAATCAGTCCAGCTTCTTTCTTTGAAAGGCTGGAGGTGGGAGGTGGCTGGTGTTTGCTCAGACACGGACAGACCTTAAAGGTCCTAGAATCACCCCTGGAAGGATAGTGGAAAAACGAGATAATTTTCTTTTCCTCTATTGCTTTAAGTGGTATCAGAAAGGTAGATTTCTGTCATCTTCCTATATATTTTCAAAGAAGGAGCCTTCCTTGGCAAAATACAAGTTTCTGTGGCTGCTGGCGTCAGAAAGAGTTTCCACCATCATCACAGGCCTTCATCTTGCAGGTAAGCTCAGACATGCTCACCCTCTTACTGACGTTGCTGAGCATTGCTCATGATGTGGAATAGAATTTCTACATCATCCATGCCCATAGTGTGACATCAAAACCAGCATGTCCTTTGCAGCCCTTAAATACACACATGAGAATGCACACACACAGACACACACACACCCCACAAAACAAAACCGCAGCCCTGCCTTGCTTTTGCCTTCTAGCTTGACCATTTTAGGGCAACCTGTCTTGGTGTGTTCCCAGGGACCAGAAGCTTCTGTGTAACTTAGGCAGTAAATCAGGGTGTCAGCTAGCACTCACCTTGTCCCCCTAAGCTTCCATTTCCTCACTTGTAAAAGGAGGAACTGAGTACTATTTTAGGCTTCATGCTTCCTTCCTGTACCAGGCTTCTCAGATGCCCCAGAGGCCAGGGCAGTGGAGCCCAGACTCTGGGGGCCCGGGGCCTGCACTGTGGGTCATAAAGGCAGAGGGAGATGCACAGCCTCAGGCTCAAGAGCTTCAGGCCATTATTTTAAAATAAAATCTTTTTATCTTGAAATAATGATAGACCTAGGAAGCTACACAACGAGTACAGAGGTGTCCTGTGTACTTTCACCCACTTCCCTTCATGGTAATATCTTACGTAACCGAGTATCAAAACCTAGTCATTGACACTGGTGTACTCTACAGACTGTATGCAGGTTTTAGCAGTTTTCACACACACACACGTGTTTGCTCATGTAGTTCTATGCAGTTTTACTGCATGTAAGCACCACCATATAGATCCTGGCTGGGCGTGGTGGCTCATGCGTGTAATCCCAACACTTTGGGAGGCCTAGGCAAAAGGATCGCTGGAGCCCAGGAGTTCAAGACCAGCCTGAGCAACATAGGGAGACCCTGTTTCTACAAAAGTAGAGGCCAGCACCCTTCCTTGCCAGTGCAAACGTTTCTTGCAATGTTCAGGGCCCTGGAGCCAATCTTGGCCATACACAGAAACCTACAGAACAAGCATGAAATCTTTTTTTAAAAAAATTTTTTAACTTTTAAAGGACACACAATAATTATCCATATTTATGGATTTGCTTCCTAAATGCTTTCTAGTATGAGAGCAACTTAGCTTATTTTTCTCCTTGGCCTCCCTACATGTGCTAATGAGTTGTCTGTGGCTGCCTCCAATCCCCCAGCAGACCAACAGGAGGAAAAAAACTCAATTTGCACTTTTCCTAGGAAACAATCCTGTTGGCAGAGCGGACTCATAAAACCCCTCCTTTTCTGTGCTAGCGTGCTGCCGAGGGGCCCACGTGACACTGCTTCTGAATGTGGCCTCCTCTCGGTTGAGGCCCTCGAAGGAAGAGAAACCGTGTAAGGAAGTGCATAGAGAATAAGAGACCCCGTGTCTCCAGGGTGTGGAATCCCAGGCTTCCTTCCTAAAGATGCCATGGAGCTTCCCCAAGAAGGCAGAGTGGATACCCAGCGGGAGTTCCCACCCAGATGTCTTGAACTGGAACCAGGGAAGTCAAATTCTACATTCCCAAAGCCAATTCGCCATTTCTTTCTGCATCTCTTACGTCAATGAGATGAAGCCAGAACGGGTCTGCTGGATGCCAGAAATCTGCAATAGAGCTCTCCTGGATAGGAAGGAGGGAGGTGCTTCTACGGGAAACCCTGAATTTGCTTGTACTTTATCTTCATGTAACACAGACCATCCGGGAATAGGATCCCGGGACCATGAATAATGTGAGATTACAAGCTCTTACAGGTGGATGCTGGAGGGAAAAGCAGAGCTGCCATTGGCTTGGTCTCTCTGCCAGCAAAATAAATTCCTGACCAAGGAAAGGACTCATTTTTCTGCCTCCAGAACCAACACACCCTAGCATTCCCTTCCTGATTAGAGGAATAAAAAATACTTCTGCTAAAGATATAAAAAGAATTACATTGAAAGATAGCAAGTTGCCACGAAAAATAAGACAGGAAATTGGATTTCAGATGAATAAAGGAGACGAGTGCACCCGTTGAACAATCACAGCCTTCCCCCGCAGACCTGCACACAAGTTAAACACCACGTGTGAGTTTCTTCTGCTTCACAGCAAAGTTTAAAGGCCCTGGCTCAACACTGTGCCGTTCTCTGTAACACCATTGCTGTAACCATTTGGATATTGTTCAGCCTTTTTTTGCCATCTGTTCATGTGTCTTCAGAACATAACATTTAAAAACTGTTAGTGTGCATGGAAATATTACCAGACAAAACTGATACAACGAGAGCAATTAGTCTAAATACCTTTGCCTAGGCTTAAGCTGCTGAAAACTGGAGAAAGAAAGCAAGCACTGGGCTGGTAAACATTTTCTAACACAGGAGACATAAATAATGGATATTCATAAGTTTGTAATTGCAAAAAAGTGGAAAGAACCTAAATTTTTATCAAAAGGAGGAGGGACACAATTGTAGTCGATACATATAATGATGTAATGTACCTCCATGAAAATGAATTAACTAAAGCAATGCATGCTAGCTATCTCTTGAAATAATGTAATAAATTAGTCTCCAAATAAATTGCTAATTCAACTTTCATTAGTTCCAGTAATTTGTAGGTCAGCTTTTTCTGTGTAGACACTCATATTGCACGCACATAATAACATTTTTGTTCCTTCCTTTCAAATCCTTAAACATTTTCTTTTTCTTGTCTTTTACACTGGGGAGGTCCTTCAGTACAACTTTGAATACAAGTGGTAGTGATGGATGTATTTGTCTCACTCTTGATTTTAAAAGGAAGGTTTCCAGTGTTTCACCATTAAATGTATTGTTCACTGTAGATCTATATTTAGGTGTATTTCTTTAAAAAGCAGACAGCTAACTTATAAAATGCAATTTGTCATTTTTTGTTTTGTAAGATCAGGTTAATATAGTCCATTTATATTTATTAGGGCTTTTGATTTATTTATTTATTTATTTATTTTTTATTATTTTTTTGAGACGGAGTCTCATTCTGTCAGCTGGAGTGCAGTTGCACTATCTCGGCTTACTGCAACCTTTGCCTCCTGGGTTCAAGCAATTCTCCTGCCTCAACCTCCCGAATAGCTGGGATTACAGGCACCCACCACTACGCCCAGCTAATCTTTGTATTTTTGGTAGAGACGGGGTTTCACTATGTTGGCCAGGCTGATCTTGAACTCCTGACCTCAGGTGATCTACCTGCCTCAGCCTCCCAAAGTGCTGGGATTACAGGCATGAGCCACTGTGCCCAGTCAAGCTTCTGATATTTTAATAATTATTTTATCCTATTTTGGGTTTTCTTTCTTTATGCCTTTCCTCCCTTCTTTCCAGCATTCTTTTGGATTCATTGGAATATTTTAATTTTTTCTTTTGTTTGTATTGTTTTGTTTATAGTTTGGAAATCATGTACTATATTTCTAGTCTTGTAGTACTTACCTTTGAAATTTTAACATGAATATCTTAATAAATCTTAAAAATAAACTTGTCTTTTTCCTACCTATTTTAAAAACCTTGGTATGGCTGGGCACGGTGGCTCAAGCCTGTAATCCCAGCACTTTGGGAGGCCGAGACGGGCGGATCACGAGGTCAGGAGATCGAGACCATCCTGGCTAACACGGTGAAACCCCGTCTCTACTAAAAAATACAAAAAACTAACCGGGCGAGGTGGCGGGCGCCTGTAGTCCCAGCTACTCAGGAGGCTGAGGCAGGAGAATGGCGTAAACCCGGGAGGCGGAGCTTGCTGTGAGCTGAGATCCGGCCACTGCACTCCAGCCTGGGCGACAGAGCGAGACTCCGTCTCAAAAAAAAGAAAAAAAAAAAGAAAGAAAAATCTTGGTATATAAGTATGTACGTATTTATTTGTTTTTATTGTGGCAAAAAACACATGACATTGAATTTCCCATCTTAACCATTTTCAAGCGTACAGTTTGGAAGTCTTCCATATATTCACATTGTTGGGCCACAGATTTCTAGAACTTTTTCATTTTGCATAAATAAGCATTGTCTTTACTCTCCTCCCTATAAAAGACCAGGTCAAGGACATGAGAATGCTTTATGTTCACTCACCAGCCCCTCCTCCGTGTGCTATTGTTATCTGCCATTTTGCACTAGGCAGCCTCCGATATGGCCCCAGGTATCCCCTCCTACATTGCACGTCCTGTGCAATCCCCTTCTCTGAAGTAGCCCAGTGACTTGCTTGTAAGCAGTGGAACATGGCAAAAGCATTGGGATGTTGCTTCTGAGATTAGGCTGCAATGTCATGAGACTTTGACAGCTATCTGTCATGTCCTCTCTCTCATTCTGGGAAGCACGTTGCCATGTTGTGGGTAGCCTTGTGGGAAGACCCCCATGGTAAGGCACTGATATCTCTGGCTAATAGCCATTGAAGACTTGAATTCCACTAACAGCCCTGTGAGTGGGCATGGAAGCAGATCTCTGGAGGTCTGTTCATTGCCATGTACTCACATGAGTTTGGAAGCAGCTGCTCCCCCAGCCAAGCCTAGAAATGACTACAGTCCACCTTCATCACCCTTTGTCAGAGACCACCAACTAAGCCACATCCAAATTCCTGCCCCAGAGGAAAAAAACTGCGAGGTGAGGTGATAATGCTTATTGTTTTAAACTGTCAAATTTTAGGGCATTTGTTATGCAGAAATAGACATCTAATACATTCTTGTTCCAAATTCATCATTATCATCATTACATTCATTGATTGTTAAAATTGCCACCGCTTTGCTTCTCATTCCATTTTATATCTCAAAACTGACTTCTGGGATCATTGCCTTCTCAAGTACCTTTACAATTCTTTTAGTGAGAGTCTTTCGGTGGCAAACACTCTAGATTTTTTTTCTCCAAAAAGTCTTTAATTTACTCTTATTATTGAATGACTTTTAACTATACTGTATATAGAATTCTAGGTTCTAGGTTGATTGTTATTTTCTCTTTTCTATGATAGTATTGCTGAAGCCTGCTGTCAGTCTATAACTTCTTTTAGGTAATTTCTCTTGCAACTTTTACCATTTTTTTTCCTTTGGTGATTTGTGGTTTTATCCTGGTTGGTCTAATTGTGAAATTCCTTTTACGAACCTCTGTGGGAAACTCTGTGGGAAGCACGTTGCACGTTGTGGGTAGCCTGGTGGAGAGACCCCCATGGTAAGGGGGTCTCTGGCTAATAAACATTGAAGATTTATTGTGTTTATTGAACCTGAGATTCATGTCTTTTTGCAGTTCTGGAAAATTTTCAGCATTTTTTCTTCAGAAATTGCCTTTTCCCCTATTTGTTCTATTTTCTTCTCTAGCTGTAGCTCCATATTTTTTGTTTTTTTATTTCTCTGTGGTAGATTTTGAGTCATCGCTCTAAACCTTTCATCCAGTCCATCAGTTCTCCCTTCAGCTATTTTAAAATCAATGTTTTAACATATCCATATTTTTTATTTCAACAATTAAATGTTGCATTTTAAAGGGTTTTATTTTATTCTTTTTCACACCTCCCTGATTATTTCGATATTATTTTTTCTCATGCTTTGATTTTTTTTTAATTAAAGAAGTTATACATTTTATTTTTATATTCTGTACCTTATATTTCTAAAATCTAATACCTTTGGGAATAGAATTCTACAGTTTGGGTTTTCTCTGCTGACTCTTCCTCATGGTGGTTTATTGCCTTGTCTTTTTAAATTTTGGACTGTGAGCTTATGGTTAAAACTTTAGAGACCCAGTGAAATGTGAATTGAGGGTATATGACCCCACAGAGATAATTAATATTTCCTTCTGCCTATATGCCTCAGATGTTCCCAATCAATAACCACTCTAAATTTAATTTCTAGGCTTGAGTTTTTTTGAACTAGGAAGGTAGTATATACATTTGGGGCCCAAACCTAGATGATAATATGCTTGGATGACATATTTGCATGGAAGACTTATTTTCCCAAGAGATTAGGCAGAGTTAGATAAGTTTTCCTTTCTTTTAATTATTTTTAATTTTAAAAAAATTTTTAATTAATTATTATTTATTTATTTATTTTTTTACTGTGACTGTAACTCTTAGAAGGTTGTAGCTTCATGGAGGGATCAACTTTCCATCTCGTACGGTGAAGGGCTTGGTTACCAAACTCATGCACAGCCATTAAAGCCTAAGTTCTGGCTAACGGAGATTGACACATTTTCTGTGGGTAGACACAACTTTATTGTTGGTTTTCCACTCTGTGTTTTTTTGTTTTTTTGTTTTTGATTTTGTTTTTTACTTTAGCTTTGGCTTTGTTTTGACTTCTGGAGACCTCTCATCTTTTTTTTTTTTTTTTTTTTTTTTTTTTTTTTTTTTATTGCAAGCTCTGCTATATATTTAAAAGATTTGTGTCATGTCTTATCCATTATTTTCAGATATTTTATAGCAAGGCAGTTTTTTATGATAGAAAGAAGTTTTTTATGTAGACAAGAAGACTGCCCACTTCATACAGTTTCCTTAGATGTGTGGGTAATTTTTTTGTGCACTGTCTTGGTTTCTCTTTTGCCAGGGTCCTTTCATGAATGCTTTAGTGTGATGTTAGAGATCCAAGTGCACAAGGACACTGCAGGGTGCTATGGTCTGAATGTTTGTGTCCTCCCACGTTTATATGTTAAAACCTAATTCCCAATGCAATCATATTAAATGGTGGAGGCTTTGGGACGTGATCAGGCCATGAGGGCAGCACCCTCATGAATGGGACAAGTGCCTTCATAAAAGAGGCCTGAGGGAGCTTATTTGCCCTTTTCGCCATGTAAGGACAGAGTCAGGAGGCACATCTGTAAAGCAGAGAGTGAGCCCTCTCCAGACACTGAACCTCCTGTCACCTTGATCTTCGACTCCCTGGCCTCTAGAACTGTGAGCAATGAATTTCTGTTGTTTATGAGTTACCCAATCTAAAGTACTTTGTTATGGCAGCCTGAATGAACTAAGACACCAGTATTTATTTTCCTCAAAGATTTCTTCCTGTAAACACCTATAACTCTTTGCTTGAGGGCTATCTGTGACTGTGGGAGTAAGCTTGTCCAGTACACAGTTAAGCCGAAAGTGCTGAGAGTTGATGCCTCCAGGAACAGCTCTCAACAAATAACAGGTGGGAGTTGATAGATCAATACCCCAGTTTCTTCCCCCTGGAGATGTGACATCTCTAAGGCATGTTCCACAAGGGCTCCCCAGGGTCCCCAGAAGGACTGAACCCCCGTTACCCACAGCAGTGAGCTGCACTGGCTTCCTTTTCTTCCCTGTCTTGCTTCTTCACTCTCCTGCTGGTGCCTACCAGGATCATTTCTCAAACAAACTTGCACTCAGTTCTTTGTGCCAGGGCCCATGTCTGAGGAAACTCTAAACTTAAGCAATATTTAAGCAAATTCCTATAATTCACATTGAGTATGGACTATGTATACTGTACTAATTCAGATGTGGTTTCATCACCAGAGTAATTTACACTAGGTTTCTTGCTTTCGGCTTTGTTTTGGAAATGCATGTTTCAGTGGTGTTTGTGGGTATCAAGAAGAATTTTTAATAGATTTGGGTCTGCTAGTTATCAAATCTAGCAATTCCAGATGTTCAA